TGTGATAAAGAGGACGACATAGACGCGGAAGATGACAGTGATCAAGGCAACGGTTATGGAGTCGATGAGCCAAAAAGATCAAGATTGTTGGATGTGCTACTCACTGACGAACAGCGTTCCGTGTATCGGCAAGAAAAGCGTGAAGATATCAACATTGATACCAATTTGTGATAAGTTTATCCGGCGAAGATACAATTGCGATACTGTCAGTTTAAGGAAGCATAATACAGAGTAGTTCATGTAGCTGATATAGCAGTAGATTCATTTCACAGTTAGGTTGCCCGAGACTTTGCACAGAGAAAGCTTTGACTCACATTTCTGTGTGAATATCGCATCGATTGGACTTCTTTGCGAGAGCCTCTACAGCTCTTGATTTGCTTTTCTAAGAGTGACATAAATCTAGATTAAGACTAATACAAATATTGGTGTGTTTCTATTTTCAAGTATAAAATTAACTATACCGTCTGACGTGAGTTTAAATCCCGTGTTGACGGAGTCCAAAATAGTGATTTTGAATATTCGTTGTTTCACTAAGCCAATTTTGTAATACTGTAGTATTACCAATAAAAATGCTGACTCGTTCTCTTCCTACTCAAAGCATCCCCCAACAAATTCGACTATACTTTGTAAATGTCTTGCGAATTCTTCATTCTTCCAGGTTTCGTACTAAGTTTGCCTGACTTTTCAGACTTAAAAACTTTTCCCTCCTTTACAATCGTCGTGATATCTATCCGATTTCCAGGATCTCCACAAATACATATTCCAAATGTATTCCTACGTATACACGACGGGGCCTTGAGAACACACCGAACAGATGAGCCTTTCCAGGTCGTGAGTTACTTCCCGGTTATAAACGGCCACTCCCACAATATCTACATACTTTACGCGGGGATATTGCCCACTTACTTAAGTAGCTTGTCATACTCAGTGTAAAGGCCATTAGTGCTGGTACAGAGTACACTGAAAAAAGATCTACAGTTTTTCTCCCATCCTTCTAAGAAATCGGATTTTGACCCAGAATGGTGGTTGTAGCTAGCTTAATATGTGCATGTAAAATGTGCCACTTCCTCTGACGCAGAAAGTCTGCGGCGAGTAGGGAGATATACTTTGTATATCAGCAACCATTGTTGTGCTTTGTCGCTCCCGTGGTAAGATGCATTGACAAATCACGCAATATCTGGTTTTGGGTATCACTTCGATCTCATGATCGCACTTCGATCCGACATCAATATCCGTGGCGGTTTTTTGGTCATTTCGGCTTGTTAACTTTCAATCAAAGATGAACAGAATAGGTAGAAACGTTAAAGGTAATCACTCCAGTCCTCGCACTTGGTGTTCTATGAGTATACTCGATCACAGTATCACCCATGACGGATAGAAAGCCCAGCTCCTACTCCAGTACTATCAACCGACTTGGTGGGTGCTTTTGTGTTCATTCTTTTCATCTCTACAATAGCGTTTTCTTGCGTTGAAAATGGCAGACCAATATTTTCTTGAACTACGATCCGGGCCTTTTCAAAAAAACATCAGCAAATCGCGCAAGCGATCCCTGCAGCACGCGAGAATGAGTACCTGTGTGCGGTACAATTGTTGATGAAGCAGCCCAGCTATTAGACTTTTTACTCGATGTGATGCCGCGAGCGATTTCACCGCCTGACCAGACGTTTCGTGTGCAATCTAATTTATCGTATAGAGAGAATCAGCGAGCTATGACCAGAATAGCAGGGACACATGAACGGGTACAATCACCATCATCAAAGGGGGTCATGTTTTCTCTGCTCCAGATATTGCACCATCGGGCTCTAGGCTTGGTTTTTCAGTATCATGTCTTTTGTTAGCGTCCACGACATTGGTAAGTCTCAACCGACCCTCTAATTCTCGAAAGCTTTGTTGGATCTGAGTAAATTTTGCCTCAAGATTTGCATCCTTCGCGTCCATCTTTTTGTGTAGATGGACCAGTGCCTGCTCTGACAATGCCAGACGTTGAGAAAGTGTTGACAGTTTTAAATCAATTGCTAGCGCAATTTTCGCCTCCATCTCTCGCTCCAGCGTTTGTCGAAATTCGTTTAAAACTTCTTGCACATTAGAATTCTCTTTCAGATTAACTTTAGCCATCGAAGCTGCCAAGCCCAATGAACTAGATTTTCAACAGTTATAGTCAGTGATAACATAAAGTTAAAGGAGGTTCTCTCGTGCCAAATCTTACCTCGTATCAGTTAAAATAGGATCCATGAGGAGAAACTCGCATTGTAGAAGCTGTAAATTTAGCATGTTTTTATCACCTGACAGTGATACAAATTTGATTTTAAGCGTTTGCAAGCTTTTTAAAACTTCACAATCTCGATGGTTCTGCTTGAAAAGCAAATTTATAGTAAAATGCTGTGCTTCAGGCGTCAACCTAGTACCTCGAAAGGTGCCGAGATACACCTCGCTCTGTTTCTCTTCACCGAGCATAGTCTGTCGCATACCCTCAGCATAAAGTTCTACATGGCGGGCTGAGCATTGTGCCTTTAGCTGTAACTGAAGACAGCGCAGGGGTTTTGGTGACCAATGTAGCAACAGTTGGCACGGAATCGTGGCATCCGATGCGGGACGAATTAGTTGCAATGGAAGCAACGTGAAAGAAGTCACATCACTGTTTGTATCAGGTGAAAGTTGAACGTCATTCGTGCCGTCGATGGGAGAGATCCAAGTTGAGCGACACGTCAGACCTGACATTGATGGCACAAATTTGCGGTATAAAAAACTCTTGAAATTTCATGGTTTAGAAAGTATTTTTAACTGACAACTATCAAAATGTCTATTCCATATTATCATAAATTAGCTGTAGTTTGTTGCATTTTAAGGGTCTCATTCATCCACGTGTCGTCGTCCCCCACTAATCGAAGGACAGAGACAGCGAGTGATCTGAGTGACCCACTTGTGTATCGTCGCTCTTTCCACCATGTTAGAATACGACAACTCAGCTTTCTACTACTTTTCCGTGTCCATGTGCGCACTCTACGTGCTGCCTGTGACGTTTCTATCACTGCGTCGTATTCTATACGGCGTCTTTTTAAAAGACCGACTATTAGACAAGAGTCATGTGCGATGCGAGCGTGAATTGCGCAAGGTGAAGCAGTTGCAAGCCGAAAAGACAGCCTTGCGTAATGTCTTTTCGATACCATTTGTAATTAATCTGCTCGTGCTGGCTGCCGTTTGGTACGCGCTCGTACGCATGATACTTCTGCTGAAGGACGATTCAGAGATCAAATCGTTTGATCCATTTGCGATTCTCGGTATCGCTGCAGGTGCTACTGAGCGTGAAATTAAGCGCGCGTACCGCAAAATGAGTCTGTTGTACCATCCAGACAAGAATCAGGGCGATGCTGTTGCAGAGCAAAAGTTTATGCTTGTAGCCAAGGCTTACGAGGCTCTTACAGATGAGGTGGCAAAAGCGAATTACGAAAAATATGGCAATCCAGACGGTCGTCAAGCGCTTCAGCTTTCTATTGGTCTTCCCACGTTCTTATTAGACCCTGCAAACCACAACTTGGTACTCTTTCTCTACCTCTTGATTCTTGTTGTCGCTATTCCAAGTTGTGTTGCCATTTGGTATTCACACTCGAAAAAGTATGGTGACAGTATGATAATGTACGACACGTATGGGTTTTATAACTTTGCGATGTCCCAGCACTCGCATCCACGAATGTTACCTGAAATTTTGGCGGGTTCGGCTGAGTTTCGTGAGATCCCGCGTCGTGCCTCGGACGAAGCCGAGCTTGGAACATTGTTCAAGAAGCTGAAACAGCAAGATGTGATGGCAAAGCCTAAGTACAATCATCCAGCTATTGCCAAGGCTAATTTGCTGTTACATGCACATTTTTTGCGCGAGAAATTGAGTCCAACACTGCAGAGCGATTTGAATGCCATGTTAAAGAAATCCATTCAACTTGTAGATGGGATGCTCGAGATTTCTGTAATGAAATCGTGGCTTCAGACGTCTCTTAATTTAATGGAGATGCAGCAATTTCTGACTCAAGGACTGTGGTTTAAGGATCCGCCGTTCTTGCAACTACCACATATAACAGAGACCGAAGTCAAGCACATTGTGTCTGGAAAGAGCGCTGTACGTAGTATGCATCAGTATATTGCTGCAAAACCTGAGGATCGTAAAGGATTGAGTGGATTATCGGATGAGAAACGTCAAGAAGTGAACACTGTGCTTAACATGATGCCACACATGGAGCTGAACATTTCAATCGGGGTGGAAGATGAAGAGGTTATTGCTGAGGGAGACATAATGACGGTAACAGTCACGTTGACGCGTCAAAATGTCAAGGAAGGCGACACATGTGACTTGGTGTACGCTCCCCGTTTCCCGTACCCGAAGATGGAGCGCTGGTACTGTATCGTGGGAGATTCCAAGATGAACCATTTGCATGCTTTTTCAAAAATGACTTCTCAAGAGCGCGTGATTGAACAGAAGTTACAGCTACAGGCACCTCCAAAAGCTGGCACGTATCAGTTGGATATTTTTGTAAAAAGTGACTCTTATGTTGGCATGGATTTGCGTGCAGTCGCAAAGGTGCGTGTTTGAAGCTTTGACGTTGTTGCTGTTGCTGTATCTAATTGCGTTTTCTGAATATTGCAGTTTAATGTTGCCCCAGCATCCACATTGCCAGTTTATACACCACATCCGGAGGATTTGGAATTAGATAACGAGCCGACGCTGTTCGAACAGGTGATGAATGCCGCAGACTCGAGCGATAGTGAAGAAGAGGACAAGGATTTGGACCCGGATCAGGTGGAGGAGGCCAAGAAAGATAAGTAGATTGCAAGCGCAACTTGCTTGTCTCCTATACCGTGAATTGCAAATGTAGAATCAGAGTTGATGAGTGTGCTGGCATACGCTATGCTTGTTTTTCTACTGCAAATGGTGAAGGTGTTCGGTGTGATGAAGACAATAGATTAGACGTGTCAGCCGCTATTGCTGGTGAAAATTAGTACAGTAGTTAGGAGGGAAGCAGTCCGTCCCTAATTACTGTATAGGTAATACAGAAAACAACCCTTCTTTAACTCAAACATTTTTGCACCACTTAAACCCACTTTACAACCTCTTTTTCAAAAAAAGATCTTAGAATGTTCCTCAGATATGATGCTAAAAGCGACACTTTCACTGTGGGTTCAAGATCAATCAAAGAGTCTTCGTGGCCGGCTATTGAAGCAGATGATGGCTCGTATCTCGCCTGTGGCAGTACACTCAGCATATTTCGACTCCATTCTCAGGCGTGAAGAGGCAAGAGTCAATGCTGACCGAATTCGTCCTAAGTCGAGGCTACGAACGGGGTGCAAGCGAATTTCAGCTCATTCCGAATGAGGTTATATCTCTCCCATGGAGTAGTATTCCGAGCATCGAGGATCAACTAAAAAGGCGAGGACTTCAATCATTGCTTCAGTTTATGCGCTCTTAGTCGAGCTATGATGGTCAGCAACAAGTGTAGACTTTCTCACAGCACTTCTTATTTGAGTCGGTCGACGATCGACGGTCGACATTTCCATGTTGTCCCCACTTCGATATCGTACCATGGTCTTCATCTCCACCTGTTGAAAGGTGACGAGGTTCTTGACGTACAGCATCCGATGGCAGATCACATGGCACGACCAACCGACAGACAAGCGTATCTGGTCTGGGCTGACACAGCCCATCTGATCTCACTCTGATCCAGAAACTCATTTTCGAAGAAGCACCAAGGCCACTTACCGTCAACACTAACTCGCGCCGCCTTGGGATGTATCCTGAGCCCCAACGTGGATCCCGATTGCACATCTCGAGGGTCGTTGGGTTGCGCTCGTTTGTCGACTTCATGAGTGATGGTGCTTTGCGGCCGAGTGAGTCGAATTTGTTCAAAGATACTTCAACCTCAGTTCTCCACATGCAGTACTTGGTTTGCAATATCAATGGTTGCATTCTCTGTATCAAAAAGCGTCACAGGTTGCGGTCAGACTTGGAGTGCCTAAGTTTGCTCTATCAGAAATAAAAAAGACAGAAAACTGGAGCGCACGAATGGCTCAATGGCGTGTCTGGTGCCAGATTCCAAGAGAGCGATTCTTTGAAAGGTGTGGCGGGCCAAAACCACCTGACAAGTACCATTAAATATCTCTGCACATGTAATGTGTTGGTTAAGTTGAAAGTGAGACGTTTGTTCGGAACGCGACTGTAACAGGGATTCACGTACCCAGAGTGTAACGAAGGTACACAACCACTGTATACAGGAATGGGTCACACAAAATGGTGTGACGTACAGAGGTGATGATTACCCAAGTTGGTGTAATCACACAATGGTGTGGCTACATCGTAACAAGAAGCCACTACGTGGTGAGACTGCCATTAGTAGTGCATATTGATTTGGTTTTCCTATTTGATTCGAAAACATAAATAAATAGATATAGGTAGCTCTGCCGTAAAGAAAACAGATAAACACGACTGCAATTTTGAACGGAAAAAGTACATTTGCCTTGGTTAAGGTTTTGGCTCCTCTTGGAGGTTGCGGATTGCGACCCGCTATACTCGTACTGGATCTGGTATAGAACGAAGTCGGTGTCCTTAAGTAAGTTTCCTCTAAGCAAAAGCTACGGCAGCCCCGCTGCACTTGAAAAAGCTCGTAGTTAGTGTCGTGACAATTTTTCCTTCGTATTTATGGAGCAAATTTCCTATGAGCCTCAAGGCATGCCGAAGATTCCTGTGGACCTCATTGTCAATTTTCTCGACTTTGATGACGTGAAACAAAGCTTAGTTAGTTTTAGACTTGCAATCGAGGATGACCTTATCCTTGGAGTGGCATGACTGGAACACCATGAGCCATGGATCGACTTGAGATCGAAGGTCTTGGGCGCCGCGCGTACGTCTCCTGGTGGGGCTTTGATGAGTCATGTACTCACCTCTGCTAAGAGGTAAAAACGTTGCTGGCACGGGCACTGGACTGACACGGTCGACGTGATGGAGATCAGAGTATTCAAGTTGGTGAACACCGAAGGTGTATCGGACAGGAGGCCCGAGCATGGTTAGCGGGCTGAACGTGGGATGGCAGTCACTCAGTGAGCGCTGCTCATGCATTGGAGCAGTTGCAGCATGACATGCGTGGCATGGTCAGCCAAGGGCCAAGGCATCGAGGGCGAGGCCCTAATGATACACGTGGAGTGGCACGTAATTCACTGAGCACTGCTCACTTTTCAAAGTAGTCGCTGAATACCACGAGTGGCATGGTCAGTCGAGACTCTCGGCATCTTGGGCAACGCCCTTCAGATGCGCGTGGAGTGGCACATTATCCACAAGACAAAAACTGTAAAGCTAGCAGCTCTTCGTCGGGAGTTGTTAATTACATCAGGGCTCCGGGTGAGCTGGAGGTGGGGCTAACACTGGGTGACGCTGAATATGTGTTCCCACTGGTCTTGCTGAGACGTGCAGCTTCTATAGAGAGGAGACGGCGACACTGTATGCTAGCTGCAAGACGCCGAGCGTCGATTCGTTCCGGGATGTGTGTACCATAGACGATAGCGCACAGCTATACATTCCTCGTCAACAGTGTGACGGAAGAAGAAGACGGCGAACTCACCATCAAGGCTATTCCTACGGTGGATACTCTTCTTAAACTGGATGAAATGTCCTTCGAAGTCGATGGCCGTTCCTTGAAGGCAGGCGACCTAGCCGAAGTAGTCATTATACGACCTGAAGAAGACATCAAGTTGTCGAGGAAACCAAGAGGGTGCTGAACACACGAAGTGGATCGTTGATCCTGATGGATCCCTCGAACCCGTACTATCTTTCGGTAAGGAAATTTCAAGACGTCGTCTCCAAAAACTCTCCGACAGTCCTACCTCTGGACCGAGGTGTGCGTCATTAGATTGAACTGGTTCCGGAAGCCAAATACTGCTTAAAACGCCAATGGCCGCCTATGTATAAGGAGCAATATGACTTCATTGAAGCCTTTTTCCGTGCAAAGCACGACGCAGGAATGGTGCGTGAGAGCAAGTCTCCCCATTCGACACCCAGGTTTTGTGTCCAGAAGCCGAACAGCAAGTGACGTACCGTTCACGCTTAACACTGTCACTATTCTGGCGCAGACAGCAATTCCCGGAAAGGATGCTGTCAGAACAATATGGTTGGCTGTACAAAGTACAGCGCACTCATCTTGGTCAATGGATATTACCAATTGTTCATGAGAGCGAGTAATATTTCGCGAACAGCGGTGAGACTCCGAGCGGGATGCTCCAAGAGTGGCTGATGATGCCCCAAAGGCTGTCAAATGCACTAGCAACATTTAATCGTCTTGTGACGCCCATGTTCGAGCCTCATCGGGCTTTTACACAAACATATTTCGACGGCATCTTTGTCCACAGTGCGGGGCAAGAGAGAACACATGAGAAAAATTCATCGTTTATTTGCGAGCGGTGCTTGAGTGTATGCGCACGAATAAGCTGTTTGCTAATGCCGATAAGTGCATCTTCAGCGCGGAAAAAATCCCTTTTAAGGGTGCTTCATAGGGTGCGTGGCCTTTGGGTTAATTCCGCTAAGGTCAAGGCTATTGTGGACTGGCCAGTTCCAAAGAACAAAAAGGATGGCTTAACTATATCAACTACTTGCACAAATATAGTGTGAATTATGCGATAATAGCACGGCCATTGTCGAATCTCCTTAAGAAGGGTACGAAAAGGTGTTTGGACACCGAGCATCGGAAGGCTTTTGACAGGGTCAAAGCCAGCCTTCTTCATGCACCATACTGACGTTGCCAGGCCCTGATCGTCCTATCAGTGTCGTCTGTGATGCTTCGGATTTGCCATCGGTTATGTACTGCTGCAAACAGACGCCGGGGGAGAGATTGGATAATCGTGTTCGAATCTTGACAGCTTAAGGCTGCGAAGAAGAACTACCCAGTCCACGACAAGGAATTACTTGCGATGACTTATGCGCTTGTCAAGTTCAAGATTCGCCTGCTCAGCTCCAAGCCGTTTGTGATCGACACAGATCATGTTTCACTACGCACTGCGATATAGTTGCCTCATATCTCGCAGAGGTTGGTCATCTGGCTCTCCTACTTGCAGAATTTAAGTGCGAGGTGAAGTATAAGCCAGAAAAGCAGAATGCTTTGGCTGATGCGCTGTCACGTAGACCAGAATATGATATTGCTCGTGTCACGACGATGACGTCGTCAGTGATGGGATTTGATCCACACCGCATACACGAGTGATGATATGTGTTTAGCGCTGCTACAGGCTCTCGGAGGCAAGGAGTTTGGAAATTCAGAACAGAAACTGACGATGCGTTTGCTCGTACAGTTACACCGATATTTGTCAGCAAACGTGTTGCTCAATTATAGCGCCGATTCGACGGCTTCGCCACGAATTGAGGTTCCTCTAGATGAGGATTCAAAATTCCGTATCCGCTATGATACCCACTCAGTGGTCATCTCGGTCGTGAGAAGTTGTACAGCTCAATGATTTGCCACTACTAGTGACCCAAGCTGAGTCCCACTCAGTAGTCACCTCGGTCGCGATAAGACGTACAGCTCTGTGAGGATCCACTACTGGTAGCCCAATCTTACAAATGGACAAGCATATATGTGCACACGCGTGAAACGTGTCAAAAGGTGAACTCTTTCCGAAAGCGGCGGCGGTGCTGGCCAGTTTACCGGTACCCTCCGGGTGTTGGCAGTCCATGAGTATGGACTTTGTGTTTGGCCTGCAGAAGGGCTCGGCGGCAACACAGGCGTGGTGGTCTTTGTCGGTCGTTTGAGCAAGTTGGCTCATCTTTCGGCAGTGCCAGACTATCGACGG